ATCCGATGACATTTTAGGATCGAAAAAAATGGGGGTAGCTTTCAAGAATGGCTGTGAAGTCAGAATCGGTTGGAGTCGACAGTCCCAGCCAGAGTCGGAGTGAGAGACAAGAGTTGCCAAAATCTTCAGGACCTCGACTCCAGACTCGAACATATCAAAACTTTGATACAATCCATGCCTTACATAACTGGTGTTAGCCGAAGTTTACATTGGTTTTTCACCAGTCTAGTACGCTGACACGAAATTTTAGTGTCAAGACCTAGCTCGAAAAAAAATCGGGTTTGGGTCGGGGTCTTCTCCAACTCTGGCCAAAGGTCTGCGACATGCTCGAGTGGCGTTTAAGTGCCACAGGACTAACGAGAGCTGTGCGTAGGCTCCTAAAAAGTCCCACTGAACTTTAACCCGCGCCCCGCTGGGGGGGGGGGCAGAATCTGCCCCCCCCTCCCGTTTTCGCCAATAACTTCTAAACGCGTTACGCCAGCGACGTCAAACTTTCAGTACCTTATCATATATCAATTTGACACGTTCCCTGAAGATTTGAGCGTAATCCGTCGGGAAATTTTTGAGAAAATGACGTTTTAATGACGTCATGTTCGCCATTTTCGCCTCAAAAACGGCAAAATTTCAAACGCCGCTAACATCTTCATTTTTAAAGGAATCAAGACGTAACAAAAAGGTTATACGTGATTTAAAGGGACTGTCCCACCTTTGCATTAGTTCTGAGTTGAGATAGCCAAGTTGGCGGCCAGGTTCAGAAACCACTATATATCCTGGTCGCAATATCCTCAGTTTCGTGGTGTTAAAGAAATTCGTTCCCTTCATTTGAAAAGTGGGCCTTAGCTAAGGCCCTATCTCTTAACTATTAACGGCCATTTGATGACGTCATTTGCATTTTGAACGCCTGTCACGCATGTGAAGTTTCACTTGATTTACGAATAAGCTAATCAGAGACACTTGTTATTGTATGAGCCGCGTCATATTTGAGAGCAAATACCTATATTTGATGCCAAATTTCCCCCACATTGACATGAAGTAAATCCTTCATTACGTCACAGATCCGATCTAAATGACGTCACGATGAAATATAAAAGTCGCAATATCTCAAAAAGTATACAATGAAAACGCGTAAAAACTTGCAGAATTCGTCACAATATCATGAGTAACATTTCCGAATCCTAAATGGTACTTTTTTGAAGGTGGGATAGTCCCTTTAACTTTGTCTATCAAATGGCTATCTCGGTTATTTGAAAATTTTGGATTTTGGCCCATTTTTTCAAAAAACTGACTTTTTTGGGAAAATAATTATAAAATCCAAAATTTTGAGTGTATCGAAAAAAAGGAATATAAGTCAGAGAAGTGGTCTATGTGCACCTACATACCATTTTTCAGAAGAATCGGTTCAAAAATGTGGGAGTTATTCAAAATTTTATAACGTCACGACACAGAAAATTTTTGAAAATGAATTTTTTGGGAAGTTCTAGACCTTGTACGGAAACAAAAATACCACCATTCGATTCGCCGTGATAAACTACATCAGATAGACACCATTTTAGGCCTTAACAACCAACTTCAAAAGTTGACCTCACTTGAGATGACCTTGACCTGAGCTTGACCTAAAATTCATCCAGAGGTGGTTCATATCACTTATTGAGTGTGCCTATTGAATTCTATGAATAAAATGACCCATAAAACATGTGTCGCACATGCCCTTTTCTATATTTTGTTTTTGGTGACCTGACCTGACCTGACCTGACCTTGACCTTGACCTTTGAATGATATTGTATGCAACGAATATTGTCTTAGTAGCCTAAGAACACGTTTTGGGCAATCAGTCTCAGTCCATTCTTCGGCAACTACGGTGCAAGGCCGATAATGTAGAAACTTGCATTTTGTACCCTAGACCTGACCTTGACCTGACCTCTGACCTACTTAAGCAAACAAAATTGGGCTCTTAAGATCCGCCTTGTTGAGAGCTTTCGATTGCCGTTTTCCCCGTCTTTCTACGACCATCGGCTCGGAAGTTAGACAGGGGGGGGGGCAGAATCTGCCCCCCCCCCCCCCCCCAGCAGGGCGCGTATGGCTGAATAGCCCAGCGGGGCGCGGGTTAAGAAGGGAACCCACGGTAGCTTCCAAGCAGTGGCGTATACAGGGGGGGCCATGGGGGCCATGGCCCCCCCTTTCCGCCCAGCCGCCCAGATGGCGCCCCAATTAGCGCCGAATAGGCTGATGCCGTTTTACAGAGGGAACATGAATTAAAAAGTGATGTGCAGACAGGGATCGAACTCAATATCTCTTTGGGGGTGCCTGGACACCCCAATGTTCTCCAGGGCACCCCGAAATAGGACCTGAGCCCCCAATTATGAAGGGCGCCCCTCCGGAAACCAGAAATTCCGAACCCCCAGGGTCGATGGCGCCCCTGTAGAGTCGCTGGCACCCACCTGAACGGAGCAGTCGCCCCATTAAAGGTTGATGGCGCCCCTCTAGACCACCCGGCGCCCATCTGAGACTCACATTCGCCCCATCCAAGACAACGCCCCTGAGACTACAGTCGCCCCACACAAGCTCAAGGCGCCCATCAAGAGCGTCCGGCGCCCTGCTGAAGGCAACAGTGGCCCCATCCATGCCCAATGGCGCCTTCAACGCCCTTCTAAACATCACAGTCGTACCATCAATCCGAGGTCGCTGGCGCCCCTCAAGAGCCATTGGCGCCCACCTGAAACGGGACTTCAGTCGGCCCATCCTAGATCAATGGCGCCCCTCTGAAACTACTGGTGCCCCTCTGAAAATCCCAGTCGAACCATCCGAGATCAATGGCGCCCCTCCAGAGCGTCCGACGCCCTACTGAATGCAGCAGAGACCCCATCCAAGCATCGCACCCATCTAGAGCACCCGGTGCCCTTCCTAAGATCACATTCGCCCTATCCGAGGTCGTTGGCGCCCTCCAGTAGTCACGGACGCCCATCTGAATGGAGACTTCAGTCGCCCCGCCCCATTCAAGATCGATAGCGCCCCCCCCCCCCGAAACCACTGACGCTAGGTAATTATTTGACAATGGGGCTTTCTCATCGACACCAAGGGCCCTTTTCAAGATGCAGCAGCCAGGGGTCGCCGAGCTGGGCTAGGATGTGCCAAGCGTTTCTTATGAGGCAGCCTCGTTTGTGCCACCGCCACTCGTTGCGATACCGCCCCTCAATGGGACGACGCCGCCCCTTCACCGTACAATGCTACCCCTCAATGCAAGTGGTGCCCCTCAGCGCAGTGCCGCCCATTGCGATGCTGCCCCCGCCTAGCAGTGCGGTGCCGCCCCCAGCGTACGCGTTTTTTTAATTGAACCTGCTGGGGGTGTTTGAACACCCACTTCTAACTCAGCTTGTGGGCCATGTGGAGACACGCAGTAGGCGGCGTTCGAAAGAGCGTCAAAAACTATTACAAAACTACTTAGATCATTTTTAAGGTTAGATCGAACTGGTCGAAGAGTTTGATTTTCGGTTGTCAGGTCCCCAGAGACAACCGAAAATCAAACTTCGCCGATCTGACATTTTTTTTCGACAAAACGGCGCAAAAGTCAGGATTCAGAAACAGATTGAGCTACAGCGCAGCAGCAAAGCGCATTCGATAGCTCTTTTTATGCTCTTTCTGATTAATTATCTCAGATTTGACCTAAGATAAACGTTTTACCCTCAAAATATACGTTTTCGCGGAGGACGTTTATCTTCAGACCTGCACGAGATAAGTTTAACCCGCGCCCTGCTGGGGTCCTGGAATTCCACGCCCTGCTGGGGGGGGGGGGGGGGGGTTGAACAACCAACCCTCTCTAACTCGGCTCCTGGGCCACGTAGCGATACGGAAAAGGCGGCGTTCGAAAGAGTGTGGAAAATAAGGAAGAAATCACTTTGGTCACTTTTTTGGTCAGGTCAAAGGTCAGGTCACCAGAGGTCATTGAAGGCCAAAATTCGCCGATTTGTAAGTCAGATGTCGACAATTTTAAACAACTTGACGCACAGCTCGGAAGCTAATAAAGCTGCAGAGCCGCAGATTGATAGCCCTATTGACGCTCTTTCTGAGTAATTTTCTCGGATTTGACCTACCGTCAACGGTTTTGCCTGCAGGGGACTAAAAGTAACAAAATAGCCAATTTTTTTGAAACAGTTTTTTTCTGCAATAACTTTTGACTCAAACCTTGCACGAACGTTCTTTTACTAGCATCGTGTTCCTCTCGTCAAGACGTGTCGACTATCACTTGACCTTGAAAGATCAACTTGAAAAGTTGACCTCAGGTCAAGGTCATGACCTGACCGGTAAGGGTCAAGCTGCATATCAGTCGATCCGTATCGTCGAGCCAAACACAATTAAGATGTTTTCACCGCTCTAGTATGCCCTTATCAAAAGTTATTCGCGAAAAACAGTCAGATACCATTGGTGACCTGAGATGACCTCAGGGGCATAAAAAGGGGTCAAGGGAGCCATTTTCATGTTCAGTGTGTCAAAGATACTAGTAATTCAGTGTTTTAGAGTGTTTATGATGACTTCCGTCTAAATAAGTGTAATATAAAAAATAAATAGAATATAAAAGACGGTTAACTTCATCCAAAAACCGACTGTCTTTATTCTCCTCAAATCTGCACATCAAATTTTCCATCAGCGTGTTTTTGCGCGAGATAAAATTACTATGCGTTCCGTCAATTACATAAAATACAAATAGAGTGAGGCACCATCAAACACCACCCCCTGACCTTCAAGGGTCACTCTCACTGCGGTGCCGAACCACCCCACATCAAACACCACCCCCTGACCTTCAAGGGTCACTCTCACTGCGGTGCCGAACATCACCAACGTGCCATGGGGTCCCGTCCACTTCCACAATATGAAGTGACGGCACCCTGGTAACAACACCCGGCTGCGACCTATCACCACAGCGTGATCCAGGCTGTCGGACCCACACGGCGTCCCCGACAGTGTAGGCGCTGTCCGTGCCCTCCGGACCGCTGCCGTCCGCTGGATCACCACCAGTGCCAGTGACTGTCCTCACGCTGTCCCTGACCGAGTACCGGTAGATCTGTCCGGCTGGTGTCGTAGCCGAGCTCTGTCCGTCCTGAGGTGTTACGTTGTAAAGATGCACGGCATCGCCAACGGTGCACCCTGTTCTTGCGGCTATGACCTTCACGGTCCGATGATTCCTCTCTACCACACCATTTCCACTTGGGCGGTAGACGGCGCGGAACCTCAGCCGAATTTTCCACTTTGCCGCGAACACTGCAAACGCCCGACTGCGAAAGGCGGTATCATTATCCGCCAGGATCTCTTCTGGAGCTCCACGTTCATTGAAAATTCGATGCAGCTCTTCAATGACGTGCGCTGAATCTGCCCTTCGAAGCAATCTCCACAAACTGAACCTCGAAGGACCGCAGTCGACCACAGACAGGTACAGACTGCGCTGGTGGTGCGTGACGTCAATCGCCAGCCTAGTCCAGGACTCGTTCACCTCCAGCTTCCCAGGCTTCCACTTAACTGGTGCTGGGTCGATAGACCTGCATGCGTCACAGTGGGACACGACAGCACGCGCCTCTCTCCTCGTAATGTTCGGAGAAATCTCGCGCCGAGCGAAGAACAGCGTTCTCCGTACTCCAGGATGGCCTGCGCGGGTGTGCACCTCGCAAACCGCTGCTCGCCGTCCTCTTTCTTCGTCCTCGGTCCCATCTGCCCCGACGCCATCGCCGCCATCACTGCTCGTGCTGGAGCTATCTTCATCACCGCTGGTGCACTCAGCATTCACCGCAGCACCACACGTCCCAGCGGACTCTCCGTTCAGTGGACCGCGCAGCCACTGAGCGGGAACCCGGCTGAGGCAGTCCGCTTTGTTGTCCGCCGACTTCACCAGAGTCACTGTCAGATGCAGGTTGAATTCGGCCACCAACTGCTTGACTATGTCGACTCGGCGCCGTATCAGCATTTCCCCGTGGGCCTTAGTGCGGAGACGTGCTCGGCTACTTAATGCATCGTCGAGCCAGCGATGAACAGTGGCCGAGTCCGTTTTCAGCTCGATGACTCGCATGCCCCAGGCGATAGCTAGATTGATGCCTCGCAGGGCGGCATCGAGCTCTGCCATATTTATGTGAGTCGTCTCATCCTTTCGAAGCCAGCATCCGTCTTCGATGATGTTTCCATCTTGCGTCTCCAGAGCGATTCCCGCCGCCACAGAGGAGGCGTCCGTCCACACGACAGCACTGTCTCCACTGACGTGCCAGTGACCTCGCGCTGGATCATCCTTCACCATCCGCTTAGCCACGTACATCATCTGCTCGCGCAGCTCTGGATCGTCGGTAACATCGTCCCAGTGGTGAGTCACAGCATTGACTCGACGTTTCAGCCAGGCCGCCGCCGGCCTCAGCCAGCCGCACACTGGCATGTGCGCCACCAGACGTCCGCACCAGGAGAACACAGCGCGGCGTGTCATGACGTCAGGAGGGGCACCGACTGCGTTATCCCGAGTCCAGTGGAGATCACCGTCTCCTGCGACTCCAACCCGCAGGCCCAGCAGCCGTGCTCCGTCCTGGACTCTCTCTGGAGGCTTGCACTCCAGGCCGTACTTAGAGAAGTGCTCCACTACACGATCGGCCGTAACAATGTCCTCATCGACACACAGGTCGTCCACATACGGTATTGTGGCGCGCTCCACATCGGCGTCTTGGCTGAGGACCGCTTGCACCACCTTCTTCATCATCAGCGGGGCCACGTTCAATCCGAACCCGACCCTCGTCAACGCATAACGCCGTCCGCCGACAATCACGGTCTGAAATGGCCAGAGGCGCTGGTCTGTGCGAATCTGCAGGTAAGCTCGCTTCAAATCCACCACGGCGAGATTCTTACCGTGGCGGCGCCACCTCCGCAGCGTGTCTGTGCAGACGTCGGCCTCTGCTGTGTGCGCAGGTACGTGGCTGTTCAACTGACGGTAGTCCAGACAGGGTCGCACCTTGCACTTACTTCCCTGCTCCACAGCCATCAGCGGCAACAGTCCACGGGGAGGGCCATAGACGGACTGATCGTATGGAATTAGCCATCCATTGTCTATCCAAGTCTGAAGTTCGGCTTCAAATTCCTGCCTGGCTTCTGCTGACACTGCATACTCAGGCACACTGCTGGATAGACTGGCTGGCTCAGCTTCATCTTCCCACTTCCACGACATCGTCCACGCTCGTTGGTCGGCATCAAACCGTACTGAGAAATCGGGCGTGTCCACCACCAATTCATCTTCAAGGCCTGGTGGAGTGGGCGGCGTAGTCGGCTTCCCACAGAACTTGACATCAGAGGGGGATGCAATCATCACGCCACCCAGAGCCGAGATGGCGGGCACTCCGAGTACCATCTCGACACCCATCGGTTTGTCATCAAGAACCAGCACAGAAACATTCGCCGACTGCCCGGAACACGTTCTCAGCTGCACAGTTCCAACCCCACTGGAGAAAAACGGGTCTCCACTCATCGACGTTACCGCTGTTCTCTGAGGCCGCCACGCCTCACACACAGACTTGTAAACCAGGTTCTCTGTGCAGCCAGAATCCACCAGAGCTCGGCACCTGTGCCCGTCAACAGTCAGGTCTACGACCGGCAGAGCGCCACCCGTCACTGCGCGGGAGATGACGCCGGCGCTGACACACCATCTCCCACGCCGTTTCCCGAACGGACGGGGCACCGAGACGCCAAATGGTTGGGTTCGCCGCACACCCAGCACCGTCTTGTCACACGTCTCGCAGCTCTAGATGGCTCAGCCGTCGTTTCGTGATTGTTTCTCTGTGCCTGCGTGAGGCGCTCTCCTGCCGCCGCGGCTGCCATCGCCGGGTCATTCTTCACGGCCCGTCGGGCACTGCTCAAGGCGCTCTCGATGCTCAGGTCCTGCACTCGATAGCTGGCGCCGATTGCTTCACGCACGTTTAGTGGAAGACCAGAGATAAAAGGGCACAGAAGGGTCCGATCTGAAACACCTCCAAAAAGTGTGGACAGTCGCCGGAGGTCTGCCAGGAAAACGTCCACTGCTTCACCTGGTCTGAGCTTCCGAGCCACAAACTCTTCATACGCCCCAAGGGGATCTGGCGCAAACGCAGACTGCAGTGCGTCCTTCACCGACTCGTACGACGTTCGATCTCTCGCTGGCAACTGTGCATAAACAGTGAATGCGTCACCTTTCAGCTTCAGAGGCAGGATCCTCATGATATCACTGCCCTGCAGCTCGCACAGTATTTCAGTTCGGTTCAGCCACCGTACGACGTCTTCCTTGCCGGAATAATCATCGATCGCATCGATATACTCGTCATCGTTAGCTTTACGTTTCTTTGGAGCCATTTTACCACCCGTATATACAAGGAAAAAGGCCGAAATAGCTTGTAATATAAAAAATAAATAGAATATAAAAGACGGTTAACTTCATCCAAAAACCGACTGTCTTTATTCTCCTCAAATCTGCACATCAAATTTTCCATCAGCGTGTTTTTGCGCGAGATAAAATTACTATGCGTTCCGTCAATTACATAAAATACAAATAGAGTGAGGCACCATCAAACAATAAGACGACTTTCAAATTTCTCCCATTGACTCCCAATGGGGAGGTCGCAAAATTGACCTGACCTTAGGTCATTGATATCAAAATTCGATGATATACATTTTGTACATGATGTTGCTCTTATTATTCTCTGAAAGTTTCAAAGCGATCGGTCCCTCGGTGTAGCTTTAGCAGACATTGAAACTTTTGATGTAGTGAGGTCACTTGAACTGACACTGACCTTAAGCGACCTGGGTCTGAAATTTTCACAACATATGTAGAACAAATGTATAATAAGGTGTGCCAAAAACGGCGGGGCTTCGCGCCGCCGTGTTTGGGACATTCGCGAAAAACTGCAGGAGGGATGTTCAACCTCCCCAGCAAGGCGTGGGTGAACCGGCTTCGTGTTCCATTTTTCGAGACCAGTCAAATGAACTAGAATTTGACATTAAAAGGGCATTTTGAGAATTTGACCTAAGGTGAAGGTCATCACCTAACCGGGAAAGGTCATATTGCATATTAGTCGATCCGTATTTTCGAGAAGGAAAATAATTATATAAGGTGTTTCATTGCTCTACCATATATCTATCAAGTTATTGTCCAAGTCCTACCGGAGTCCTTTTATGACCTGAGATGACCTCAGTAGCATAAAAGTGGTCACATCACGAGTGAAATTTTCCGAGTAAATGTGCCATGTTTATCTGTATCCCGATGTTTAAGGGTGTTTTCGTTCTTCAGAGGAAGAGCATTTCAATGTTCTCCCATAAACCCGCGCCGTGCAAGGGGGGGCGTTTTTACGCCCCCCCCCTCGCTAGGTTTTTCACGAATATTGAAAAACGGCGTCGCGCAGCGCCACCGTTTTTACTTTGGATCAGTCAGTGAACTTGTATATATATTTTTTTGCATACAATAAAGATTGTGTCTATTGAGCAACGTATATTTTACCGTTTCGGATTGGCATGGATGCTTATTTTTGGGAATAAAATGTCCGAAGCCTTAGATCGTTTCCTATTTCGTGCTAAATATTTATCAAGATCAAGGTGTTTTGGTTAAAAAAAAAACACTAGGCTGCAAATTGGATTAATTGGATATGAAAAATCAGCGAAACCTGTTTTTCATACTCGTATTTTGCAACTAGTAAGTCATGCATTAACATTTAACAATGACGTTATATTTTAGACTGATGCCCCATGGAAGGCAAGACTGGCAAAAACAGCCCCTTTCACTAGCTGACAATGGCGCCCCTCTCAAGGGAAAAAGTCGCCCCCTCGAGCACCATGGCCCCCCCTTTCGCTGATTTCTGGCTACGCCACTGCTTCCGAGGGACCCAAACCGATCTCTGAGGGCCCTCAGGACGGCACTTATGAGTTATGAACACCACTCCGATCTTCCACTGCTGATTCTTAAGGCTCGGGCGCAGATCTTTGAGAGCCACTAAGGCAATCCACGCGCACTGCAGCGGGTCTGAGCCGAACACGAACTGCAGGGGGGGGGGGGGGGGTTGAAAACAAACCCCCCCCCCCTGAGATCTCGAAAACGGCGCAACGTAGCGACAAGCGGTAAACGGCGTTGGATAGGTTGAGATGAGATCTACAAGAAATACAAAGATCATTTTTGGGTCAGGTCAAAAACGAGGTCAGCAGAGGTCACCAAACTCAAAATGTTGCGATTTTTAGCGATCTCGACATCCCTCCATATTTCCCGCTTTATCTCGGGAACTAGATGAGCTAGAAAATTGCGAAAAAAACATTCGATAGCTGTTGAAACGGTCTTTCGCTGAGCTGTTCTCAGATTTGACCTAAGGTCAACGGTTCAGCCTATAGAGGTCATGTAATGTCAGAACAATATTGCAAATTTTCCGGAAATGCTTTTTCTGCAATAACTTTTCTTCCCAAAGAGATAGAGAAATAATTCACACACCATCGTTCTTAGCTCGTCAAGGCGCATCGAATGGTATATAATATGACCTCGAAAGGTCAAGTTCAAAAGTTGACCTGAGGTCAAGGTCATGACCTGACCGAAATAGGTCATGTTGCATATCATTCGATCCGCATTGACGAGACAAACACGATAAACGTCGAACGGAGTCTCTATCTCTATTCAATTAAAAGTTATTGAAGAAAAACCGTTAGTGACCGTTGAATTGCATGCCGGGCCCCAAAAATTGACCTGACCTAAGGTCACATAAATAAAAATTTCGAAATAAACAAAATGTTCCTTATAGTCTCCTAATATGTTTCTGAAAGTTTCATAGCATTCAGTCAAATGGTGTGGATGTAGCACAGCGTCAAACTTTTTATGAGGTGAGGTCACTTATCGTGACCTGGTGACCTGACCTTGCATGACCTAACACTAATTTTTTCAGTGGTGATGTAAAATTGTTTGATGAACAGCTATACAAAGTTTCAAAGTCTTAGCTTCACTTGTTTTTGAGTTACAGCGAAAAAAACCAGAGGGAGGGGTTGAAAACAACCCCCCCCCCCTGCAGTGCGCGTGTTAAGGACCTCCGCCGGCCTCAACAGCCCCATACTGGATTCTGAGTGTCCCTCGGTGTCCAGGGGCCCATGACAGTCTCTGGTCGAAAGGGCCCTTTCGACTTTGAGGACCATCCCTACGGCAGGCCTATAAAGACCTGCAACGATTTTATCATGGAGGGGCCACGTGTGCCTCTGAGCAAGGCTGCGAGGTCGCAGTCGGAGTCGGTCGGAGTCGACAGCTCTGACCGGAGTCGGAGTCGGTTTGGAAGCCGAGGTCGAAGTCGAGTCTAAGGCACCGATAAATCCATTACAGAAGCTGAGCATGCTAGAATATAGATTTTTAGAAGGGCGAACCGATTCCCTGGATCATTTCCAATATCTTTTTATGGATAAGGTTCGGAATCATCTGCACAGGGGCCCGGAGGGGGTGGGGGAGAGACTACAGACCCACTGTATTATTCCCATTAAAAGGTTCTACGCTGCTAAAACTGACGTAACGGGTAATGCATTTTTAACTGACGTAATTGATTTTCCCAAAGAAGTTCCCTAAAAAATACTTTTTACATTTCATAGCTAGAGGACAAACTTTATCACCACTGCATTCCTCGCGCCATGGCGCGTCGAATGACATATCCCTCGCCGGCCGAAGAGGGGGGGGGGGCGGGTGCCGCCCCCATGAGTTTTTTCGCGATAGCTCGGGACACGCCGGCGATAGAAAGCTGAAACTTGGCATACCTGACCTTTGAACCAAGCCAGATCTTTTGACACCAACCGCATTTTCAGGTCAGGTCAAGTCACTGACCTATGACGTCACAAGTGAAACTCTGCACGATCCTCAGACGCCGCAATTTCGCACCGTCCTCAGTGCCAGAGGAACTTTCATAGGAAGATGAAACTTACAGGAGGTGCACCTCCTGTAACCTCAGGAGGATACCATGGTATCCTCCTGAGGTCTCACAACTTGTATACCTCGGATTTTTCCTAAAGGTCATGTAAGGTCAGATCGGTTATGTGACCTCATCATTAGGTATGTCAATGGGGAAATATTGAAACTGCACTATTTTGGCGCCGGTAATGATCTAAAACTATATATGGCGAATCGAATCGTGATTTCATGTACTCCTTGCAAGATTCCATGCTTCAGTTTTGCATTGCTGACCTTGCGTGACGTCATTTATGACGTCGCTAGGGTCATAGGATTTTTTCTTCAATAACTGTTGATCAAATTGAGCTAGAGAGTCGGAAAAGCCACCCATGGACTCAGGAAGACTTGCCGAATCGAATGATATGCGATATGACCTTATTCGACCAGCTTCGTGACCTGAGTGACCTGAGGGGCTCTGACCTGACCCCGACCCGAGGTCAACACCTTAAGTTGACCTCAACCAAACAAAAAGTATATCATTCGACGCGCCTGAGCGTGGCGAACACGATGATGCCAAAATCGCGTCTCTACGACCATTTTTTTGCGAAATTATTTACCAAAAACCGAACCCGTGTCTTGGGCCACTTAACCTGAACTCAGAGGTCACCGGTTGACCTGAGACCTTAAATTCGGGTACCAATCGCTGCGTATCGTAACGGCGCACATGATCGTTTTTTCCGCGACGCTCTAGCTCCATTAGGGGCGAAGGGGCGAGGGAGTCGTACCAACCCCCCCCCCCCTTGGCCGCGGCGAATGTAGAAAACCAATAGGCCCGGCGAGGGATATAAAATCAAGTTTTGTTTTTTACTCCCAAAATAAAAACAAAACGACTTTTTAAATATTTCCCAAAAATTAAAAAAAATCAAAAAATTTGAGAAAAAAAAACAGGAATACATGTTATAGAGCTATCAGTCTGCTATTACCGTGCCAAATTTGAGCTCGGTAGCTCTATTTTTTTTTTTTGCAAAATTATGGCAAAAAACTGCTCAAAATTGATGACGTCAAATATTCAAACTCAATTTTTAGCCGTTGTAGACCATGTAGTAGGTACAAAACTAAGACCACCATTGGATTCCCCGTGATGGGCTGGATCGAATAGGTGTCTTTTTATGCCAAACATTAACTTTAAAATTTGACTTTTTTGACCTGACCTTGACCTGGCCTAGACAATAAAGTAACCTAAGCCGTCCCTGATGGTCATCTAACCAGTACCATTGAGTTGGAAATGAAAAAAAAAATCGACCATATAACTTGCATCACACGGCCCTAGTAAAATTGGGTTCATGTGTTGATCCTTGGTGACCTAACCTCTGCGACATGATCTGGTATCAGTGACCTCAGTTTTAGCACTTAGCAACATATGCGTTTTACTAGATGTTATAACGCATTCCCTAGAAGACCCATAAGCGGTGAAACATTTTACCTTTGACCTGACCTGTGACGTTATTGGAGACCCCGAGGTCAATGAAATTAGGTAGCATTCCCTCGACAGTTTTGACAGAAATATCAAAGACTCTTTGAATTTTGCGAATCCGTCCAGTAGTTTCGGAGGGTTACAGGACAATTTGCCGAACTGCGTTTTGCCGAATGCTTATTCGCCGAATGTCAATATGTCGAATGCATTTTGCCGACGTGTCTTTTTGCCGACGTGTCAAAAAGGCGAAGGGCTAAAAGTCGAAATGCAATTTGCCGACATGCCCTTTTGCCGACGTGCAAAAAGTCGAAACGTCAAATTGCCGAAATGTTAATTTACCGAAATGTCAATTAATCGAAATGTCAATTTGCCTAAAAGTCAATTAGTCGAAATGTCAATTCGCCGAAATGCTAATTAGCCGAAATGTAAATTTGCCGAAATGTCAAATTGCCGAAATGTCAATTAGTCGAAATGTCAATTCGTCGAAATGCTAATTTACCGAAATTCTAATTAGCCGAAATGTAAATTTGCCGAAAAGTCTATTAGTCGAAATGTCAATTTGCCGAACTGCCAATTAGCCGAAATGTCAATTTGTCGAAATGCCAGTTTGACGGAATGTCAATTAGTCGTTTTTAGTTAGTTATGTGCGCGATCCCTCGCACTAGCTCCGCAACACTGAGCTCGCCGTCTTGTCGGCGCTCCACTGTATAGTCGACTACAGAATGATGTTCCACTCCTCAGAAGCTATCAGTTGACCGGAGCGCGAAGTTGTGCCGTTTGTGAGCATTGGGACAAAACTATAATTTGTGAACTCAGCCCGTGTGATGCGGCACAGCCTACCACTCCAGGCAAATAATTGCCTGTGAAAAGTGGATCATCATTCTGTAGTCGACTATACGCTGCACCCTTGCTGCCAGCACTACCCACTGGCGTCGCCGCCCTGGCTCCAGGCCACGGATAAGCTTGTCCAGCTCTGCGCGTCCCGTGTCCTCCTCATCCCGCAGGGTTCGAAGCAGGGTGGCCGTGCTTGGATGGTTGCAGGCCAGTCGACTCTGGAAGCCATAATGCCAGCCTTTTAAGGCGTTTGTAGTTCGGGCCAGCCGGGCCAGCGTTATTGCCATATTAGCCCGGAATCACCAGGTTTATGTACAGGGTGTCTCAAAAGTTCGTTTACAGGTACCAGCCATGCTTTTTTGTCAATAATTCTGAATCAACAAGAAATTAGCAATCGAAATTTTGAATGGGGGTTGGTAACAACCTTCCTTTAGCAGTTTCATTGTTTTCAAGCGCATTCGACCCTTCATGAGCTCACAAAAAGGGTTCACCTGTGACCATTGATTAGGCATGAAAATGGAGGTCGCAAAATCGGGTCGGCTGAGAAACTCTCTGCTTCAGGAGTAATGGGAATAGTTAGGTCGGAAATGATGCATGGCAAAGTGTCGGCGGGGATGAGTACAACATGATGATCATCTAATAAAAACGTTGGCTAAATTTTTTGAATGACGAAACCATGCGAGACTAACAGCGTTTTGAACGACCCTTGTACGGCAGCAGACTCGTGCTCCGGAAAGCAGCTGAAAATGCAGTCCTAACTACTGAAAACTGACTAGAAGCTTACAGACAGAGGTTACCCAGTTTCAAAAATTGCAGGTCATAGTAAAATAAAGACAAAATATCATTTGAAATTGTTTATAATATCTATAACGCTAATTTTTTGGGAAAATAACACGAAAATCGTCAATGCCGAGGACAAGTGACCCTCCAAAAGTGTCAATTAATGTTAAGTTTTATCTTACGAAGTATCAAGAGGTAGATCTGGAGCAAATAGCTTTCTTTTACACACAAAATCCGGACAAAACCGCACGATGGACAGGTCTTGGCCGTTTACATAGCAGAACCTCTCCTGAGGAAAACACTCCGGAGCCCAGCGAAGGTCTTGGCATGGGGAATGACGAGCGTTTGGGTTTTGCAAAATTTGCAAAATGTGTCTGAGGAACAGATGGCCGACACATTTTGCTACGATATGCTGCGAAAAAATTGCCCCTGGCACTTCCCATTTGTTCAGGAATTGGGTTGTTTTGAAAAGGAAAATGGTGCTTGGGAGGTCGGCGCCAGTCATTCATGAAGGAGTTAGCGCCAGAGAAGACCTACACAATACTCACGGATGGTGTCGATGCAAGCTGTCGGATTTCAGGGAGAAGCGGATGTTGCTGGGGAGCTCGTCGAACTTAAATCCGACGCAGAAACTGCAGGGGATTCCCCTACAAGAGCTTGAAAGCTGGTAACATTTTATCAGCCTCCGGCAGCTGACGGAGCGACGAAAATCGGTATGGGCAAATATTTTTGGAGATACAGCAAAGGGTTTGGTTTCCAACCTTCCGAATCAGTTGTCAAAGCATGCATATTTGTCTAGTGTACACACAGACACCAAAACCTTAGATTTTTGGCCGGTTCTTTATGCTTTATTGGCATGGGAAATGTGTCAACGAACTTTTGAGACACCCTGTATGATGAATCTGAAGAGTGGCAGAAGAAGTCATTCTTTCTGTCCGTACTCTCGCACTGATCGGCCCAGCGACTCCTGACCACAGTCCGGCCGAGAACAGCATAATCTGCTCTGGTCACGCGGCGCTTCACATAACGATATCGGTCACACCCGGCGCGGGATTTACCCGTGCCGGCTCTCGGCACGCTCTCCGTCCGCCGTGCCGGCGCACGCACGCGCATTTACGGCCACTGGCGGATCTAGGGGGGGGGGGGGCACGGGGGCCATGCCCCCCCCCCCAAAGGCCTAAAGTGGCCTGTTTGGCCCCTTCCCAAAACGTCAGAAAAATTGCTAAGAAAATATACCTTGATGGAGGTTTTTAGCCACTTCGTGAAGTAAAGCTTTCCACAGCATAATATGGAATCAATATGGTAGCAGTGAGGGTCAGTCAAAAGTTGCGCGAGCGGAGTCGACCTTCAAAAAAAGACTGTTGTTGGCACGTGTTTATGGCGCGGCAGCTGGTAGTTGGCGCCTGGCGGTGTTTCGCGTGGTGTGGCATCACTGGCGGATCCGGGGGGCGGGGGGGGGGCACGGGAGCCTGAGGTGCCCCTGACAGGCCCGTGGTGCCCTTGCTAGGCCTGTGGTGCCCCTGGATCCTGGCAGGCCTGTGGTGCCTCTGGCGGGCCTAGGGTGCCCCTGCTAGGCTGCTGATGCCCCTGGGACCTGACAGGACTGTGGTGCCCCTGACAAGCCTAAAGTGCCCCCAACAGGCCCGTGATACCCCCGACAGGCCCAAGGTGCCCCTGCGTGATGCCGTGATGCCTACGAGGCCGGTGGGGCCCCTGCGAGGCCGGTGGGGCCCCTGACAGGCCCATGGTGCCCCTGCGAGGCCGGTGGTGCCCCTGCTAGACCGGTGGTGCCCCTGGCAGGCCTGTGGTGCCCCTGCTAGGCCGCTGGTGCCCCTGGGCCCTGACAGGACTGTGGTGTCCCTGGGCCTTGACAGGACTGTGGTGTCCCTGACAGGCCCAAAGTGCCCCTGCAAGGCCGGTAGTGCCCCTGTAAGGCCTGTGGTACCCCTGCTAGGCCTCTGGTGCCCCTGACAGGCCCATGGTGCCCCTGCGAGGCCGACGGCGCCCCTGGCAGGTCTCTGGTGTCCCTGACAGGCCTGGGGCGCCCCTGACAAGCCTGTGGGGCCCCTCACAGGCCCGTGGTGCCCTTGCTAGGCCTGTGGTGCCCCTGGCGGGCTGGTGGTGCCCCTGCTAGGCCGGTGGTACCCCTGACAGGCCTGTGGTGCCCCCGGGCACCAAGGGGGGTCATGACCCATGTGCCCCCCCCCTTGGATCTGCCACTGATACATAATATATTGATTTGTAAAGGCGTTATGGCTTATGCAATATGCAATTGCAGGCACTTGGTATCCCTCACTTATCCGTCATTGGGGGCTCTGGCGGGCTCCTGAGGGCCCACGTCTATCTCCGGGAGCCCTAGACAGGCTCCTTTGGGTCCTTTCAGTCCACTATAGCATAAGAGGTCTCCATGCGAGTCCCATACATCTGAGGGCGTACCCTGACGTCTGAGGTACCCAACTGTCCAATGGTCCAGTGGTCCAACTGTCCAACAGCTCCAATGGTCTCTTACACTGGCGGATCCAGGGAGGGGGCATTTAGGGCCATGCCCCCTTCTCAGAGGCCTAAAGTGGCCCGTTTGCCCCCTCCCCCAAACGATAATGAAACATAGTTCAATCAGTGCGTGGCCCAGGAGCCGAGTTAGACGGGGGGTGTTTTACCACCTCCCGGCCCGTAAAGGGACCCAAGCACTGACTCGAAGCGGGTTAACCCGCGACCTGGTGGGGGAAGGGGGGCTATTTTTTGCCCCCCCCCTCCAGACTTTTCGATATATCTCCAGAACCGCTGCGCCGATCGTCACCAAACTTTCAGTACCCTCCCGGACATCAATTTTACACATTGTGACCAAAAATTTTGCAAAGGCTATGATAGGTTGGCCGGAAATGACGTCAGAGTGACGTCATGTTCTGCCGTTTTCGACCCAAAAAAGGGTTTCGCGGGAAGAGCTGTCAGGCCTATAGCTTTGCTAATACAGAAAAATGATAAAGACATAAAAGCTGTAGAATCAACAGGGCTACCAAACTGCTATCTCGGATTTTTGAAATTTTTGGATTTTGACCCCCAAAAATCAAAAAATATTTTTTTTGGATATAATAATCGAAAAATCCAAAAAGTTTTTTGAATTTCGCAAAAACCGGAATATATGTGATAGTCCTTACCGCCTTCCATCCACACACCAAATTTGAGATTGATACCTCTTTTTTTTTGGCGAAGTTATAGCGAAAAAACTGTTCAAAATTGATGACGTCAAATTTTCAAACTCAATTTTTAGCAATTCTAGACCCCGTAGCGCAAAACAAAGACCACCATTAGACTCCCCGTGACGAGCTGCATCGAATTAATACCCATTTTATGCAAAACTATCAACTTTAAAATTTGACCTTTTTTGGCCTGACCTTGACCTGACCTTGACCTGCACTTCACCAGAAAGTGACCTAAGCCATACCTGATAGTCTTATAACCAACACCATTGAGTTGGAAATGAAAAATTGGCCATAAAACATGCATCACACAACCCTAGTAAAGTTGGGCTCATGTGACCTGACCTGTGACCCTTGTTGACCTGACCTGTGACCTGACCTGGTAAATTGTCAGTGACCTCTAATAGCAACATATCTACTAGGCAACTGACGCCCTATCGCTGATTCTCGACAAAATGCGTTTTCCTCGGTGTTATAGCGCATTCCCTAGAAGACCCGTGAACGGTGAAACATTTCATCTTTGACCTGACCTCTGACGTCATCGGTGACCCCGAGGTCAATGAAATTTGGTTTCCTTCGACAAATTTGACAGGCCTTTCGAACGCCGTTTGAATTTTGTGGATCCGTCCAGTAGTTTCGGAGATATGAGGGGGGCAAAAAATAGCCCCCCCCCCACCAGGTCGCGTTATAAACAGACCCCACCAGGGCGCGGGTTAACTGGTCGACAAAAGCAATGGTAAGTGTTTACAAAGTAATATAAAGGCATGGGTCGGGTGGGCTACCATTTATATATTTTTTTTAGTTAAAAAAAAAATATTCATAGTGTCAGGGCTGTGACGAAAAATAAGTGGCCTGAATCCGATGAGAAAACAGGATTTGGGGGTACCCTAGGTTTGGCTCCTGCATGAGTTGCCCCCCCCCCCCCAAAAAAAAAACGCAAGCCTGGATCCGCCAGTGTTTACGGCCTCTGCTCCGACCCACGCATGGGCGATCCCAGTCCCGGCCGGAGGGGGGACGGCTCATGATACGTACAGCCCACCGCTAAAGTAATGTAGGGTTTTACCAATATCAACGGTTGGCTTTGACTGGCGATTGTTTAATGCGGAGTGATCGAAAAGAAGATGTCAATAGCTAAAGTTGCAGCTGCAAGGGTGACGATACATATAAGCTACATTCAAAGCTTCATTGTAGTCTGGCTATTCGTTCCTAAGCTTCAGAAGCAGAACATACCCATGACTGAAATCACACATTACTTCTGCTGTGGACTGTACCTCAGCGGCCTCTCGGCGCCCGCTGATTCCGCCGGGGTC